AACTGGACTGCTGAATACCAGCAATCCCCATCTCTATCTGTCTCCCTTCAGCAAGTCCAGATATTCCACGCTCCTGTGGGGTGGCCATTCCTCCTCTTCAGAGCATTGTGCACTCAGAATCTGCAGCAATACTAGGAGCTTTTTCAAAATGAAGCAACAATTTATAAATCCCCTGGAATACAGCATCTGAAAGGCTTTGGGGTACCATGAGGCTTAGGATCTGGTTCAGGAACCAGAGCATTGACACACCCTGCTTCCCTGCTCCCACCCTCACCCTTTCTGTCCCCTTAGTCTTTCAGTCCTAAGAGAACTCTGTGCCTTGGTCTACAATAGAGAGTTAGTTTGAAGTAAGGCTGCTTACATCATCGATCTGACTCTGTACGTATCTGCACTAAAATGTCACTACCATTGATGTAAACTGTCCACTGTGCTGACTTAATAATTTCACTTCCACAAGAGGCCTATCAGGACACTTGTGTTATTGACACAGATTTTAGTAGCCTCCAGGAAGTGTCCCACAATGCCTCACCTTGATCACTCTGGTCACTGATTTGAACTTGGCTGCCCAGCAGTGAGGTACAGCTAAGCTGCACACATTTGTGAAATTCCATTTCCTATTTGCCTGGCATGGAGGGCTCACCTAGCATCTCTTAAGGATGCCTAGCAACTACCCAGCTGGCCAGGTTGGCTCCAAGCTGCAGACACGCTCCTGCCTGCAGTACAGAGGAGGTGGGGATCTTGTGGGTCTATGGGGAGAAAAGGTTATGCAGGCACAGCTCCGATCCAGCCATATAAATATCAGTATCTGTGAGCAGGTCACTCCAGGCACAGAGAAGCATAGAAGAGAGACCAGCAGCAGTGCCGTGTGAAAGCCAAGGAGCTGTGGCAGACATACCAGAAGACAAAGGAGGCTAACAATCACGGAGGTGCAGAGCCACAGACATGCCACTTTTACAAAGAGCTGCATGCCATCCTCACCAGAGGCCTCATCACTACCCCCAGAAAAGCCCACTGGTCACACTGTGAACAGTGATGAGGAGCAGAAATAGTATGGGGGACAGGAAACCATGTGATCCAGTGGAGCAACAAGCCAGGACCTGTTTTTGACTCCTAAAGACTCAGCCAGTCCCTACTGTCCATCATACATGAGCCTGAAGCCAAGGAAAGAATCTCTGGGAAGTAAGCAGTTTGCTTTGAAATTTCAGGGACACCTCTGTTGATTTACTCTTTTATACTTACGCTGAAAGAAGCAGTGAAACAACCAGGAGAAGTGTTTCTATCTGCTTCTCATACAGTTAGGCAGATGGGAACCTGCAGAACAGGTTATGTACATCACTGGGATGCCCCATGAACCCTCCTGAGAGTTCGAGGAAACTTTCCTGAAGGCAGACAACAATCCCCTGCCAAAGGTTTCTAGGGACAGCTGCCTTATTTCTTCCAACACAGTACGATACTTTATCATGCTCTTCAGCAATTACTTCACCCCGCAGGCTAGCAGCATAGGACCCAGTCTGCAGCCAGATGCCTACAGGAAGTGTTGCCTTTTCACTTCCGATACCCTCAGGAGTGAAATATCAGCTAAAGTCACCACTGCCTGTGCACAATGGTGCCAATGATCAATTAAACTGCCCTATATGCATATAATCATTGTTGCACTGCACCCCATATTATTTACTTATGAGAATTATAATGTGTATTATGCAAGTCAAGTCATGTCAAATGCCATTGAAAAAAGGTAATGATTTCCTGACTATGATTACCCTACATTTGTTCAAATGTATCATTTTTTTATCCAAAACTGTGAATATTGACTATTGCCTGAAATATCTGTGTTTCGTAATGCCGTTACATCTGAAGAACCCCCACAAGATGCTTTACTTCTAGATAGCTGGGTAGGGAAGGGCCTATTAAGGGCAATGAAGCATTAGGAAAAAAAAACAATAGGTCTTAGGACAAGCAAATCTCCCACCTGTGGAGATTTCCTGTGAGTACTACAGATAGTGTCCGAGTAATGGCTGCTGTGACTCTTCAAGGACATGTGATGAGATCACATGCCTCTAGACTCCATTTTAGGATGTCAGTATTTTTCCACAAACTACTCTGGGAGCAAAGATTTGAAACAAAGGGTTCCTGCCATATGTAAAAGCTCTATAAGGCAGAGAGTGACATCATCTGTTGTTCTTCATTCTCCCCATGAAGAGACTCCTGGAAACAGCTGGGCTGTGTCTACACTGGGCCACTTATTCCGGAAAAGCAGCCGCTTTTCCGGAATAAGCTGCGAGCTGTCTACACTGGCCCCTTGAATTTCCGGAAAAGCAGTGACGATTTACTGTAAGAAATCAGCTGCTTTTCCGGAAAAACTATGCTGCTCCCACTCGGGCAAAAGTCCTTTCTCCGGAAAACTGTTCCGGAAAAGGGCCAGTGTAGACAGCACAGTAGTCTTTTCCGCAAAAAAAGCCCCGATCGCAAAAATGGTGATCGGGGCTTTTTTCCGGAAAAGTGCGTCTACATTGGCCACGGACGCTTTTCCAGAAAAAGGGCTTTTCTGGAAAAGCATCCTGCCAATGTAGACACTCTTTTCCCGGAAATACTTATAATGGAAAACTGTTCCGTTTTAAGCATTTCCGGAAAAAGGTGCCAATGTAGACACAGCCCTGGGGAACAAAGACTGAACTGGGAGGGGTGGTAGGGGTGCTGGACCCAGACTAAAGGGATTTTTAGCCTATGAATGCAACACCAGGAGATTTCAAGCTGCAAGCAAGTGCAGCTTGCCTCTTAAGAATCTGCAGCCTGCTTCTATCATTTCTAACAGTGAGAAACTGCTATTCATTGCCAATCAACTTAGTATATTAAGCTTAGTTTCTGTGTTTTGCTAGGTAATCTGCTTTGATCTGTGAGCTAACACTTAAAATCCATCTTTGGTAGTTCGTAAACTTGATTTTGCTTTTTCTAATTCAGTGTGTGGGAGTCATATCTGGGGGCAAAAGGCAGTTGCTTAGTCCTGTCTACATTAAAGGAGGGAGTGAATTTTATGAGCTTATAATATACAGTTCCCTTTGCAGTGCAAGATGGTACCATTTTGGGTTTATTTTCTAGAGGGGGTGTGCGCCTAAAGACTGGTTGTTGCCCTAGCTCTGGGCTCCTCAGCATGCGGCCCGCGGTCTGTTTGTTTGCAACCCGCGGTGCGGTTTGGGTTTATTCAGGACTCAACATGCAGCCTGTGGATGGGATCCTTTGAACATGGCCTCCACTGGGAACATGCTCCATAATGGCAAGTCAATATAATGGTTTCCTGTTGATATGTGTTTTAGTAGGTAAATTCCTGGACTGTCATTGTTCATTAAAAGTGTTGTCATATGGGTGGAACTTGGGTAAATATTGCCTTTTATTAATATCAGCAGAACTGACTTACATGGAGCCTGTGTGTTGTGTAGTCTTGCCTTAATCTTTGTACTCATGCTGTTCAGTGTGAAAGAACCTATTTGCATATATATTTGCATGTACACACAATCACACTTAAGTTGCGGCCCTCGGCATGTGCTGTGAGTGTCATTGTGGCTCCTGTGGCTTTCAAAGTTGAGTAGCACTGCCCTATCTGAAGCCTTCCTGTGCCGGGGCTGCATGTAACTGCAGCTGGGTATGTCCCTACTTGTGGTATACTGGTGAAAGTGCAGGCTGGAGGAGGCTGGCAGCTTGTCACAGCAATGCAATGTGAGTAGGAACTTAGGCAAGGAGGGTCAGGGGGCTCAATGGTGTCCCAGATCCTGGTGACACTTTAAGGAGACCCTATCACACTCATGCCCATGAGCTACCCATGACTTAGTGACTCAACTCCCCTTCCCCCGCCAGCTGTACCTACCATCACTGAGGCTGCCACCATGCTCCGTGAATCCCAAAGGGAAGTTGTGTGGGTCAAAGAGAGTGAGTTCTGTACATCACGTTTCCATTTATCATGTGAATACGCTTTTCACAATCATACCCCTGTGCTTCGTATTTTTTGCAGCTGGAAGTGTGGCCTTGAGGGTCTGGCACTCCACCATCTGCAGATGTTCTTTGTATGCTGCCAGCATCCTTGAATTGTTTCTTTCTATGTCCCACAACAATCTAGCCTTCAAAGAATTGCCATATTCCACATGGCCCCTCTGGCTGTTCTGCAAATATAGCAGAGTCAGTCACCCATGCTCACAATACTTATCCCAATGGTGCAGAATCCATGGTGCTCTGACAGATGGCGGATGTGCACTTGCAAGGATTTTGAAAAGAGATGCAAAACATTATGGGGGACTGATAAGATTATAGGATGGTGCAAACTACATTATGGGATATTGAAATCATATTCTCAGTCATCCCTATGTGCTTTGTTTGCCCCCATAAGGCAGTGCAAATCCTTCTGAAAACATCCTGTTTAAGGTGGTGGCAAATTCCACACTGAGAGAGCCACCCACAATGCACTGCTCTCTGTATCGATGCAAGTGCTGGTAGTGAGGATGTGCATCCCAGGCAAAAGTGACTTCATTATGTGGTGAATGTATGTCTTTGTAACTTAATTAACATAATTTTGTAGTGTAGACATACTCAGTACCTCTAAGCCAATTCTTAAAGGTGCATGACACCTCTATCCATTGCAAAACCATGCTAATATGTTCAGCCTGCCTGTGTCTCCTGTCATTAAGTGTGAATATTCTCGCCACGGGGGCTTCCATGGTTCCTTCTACTTTTTATTTTAATTGGTATGTATGGATTCCAGCTAGCTTTGTTAAATTCTCTGTTTCCAATTCGGACAGATGATGTGACATTCTGACAAACCCTATTCCCTTATACACTCAGATTGTAGAAGTGTAAAATATACAGGGAAACTAAGGTACACATGTGAATAAAAATATTACATTTGTCACAGGGAGTGAAGGGCCCTACTGTTTGGGGTCAGAGCTGGGTGGTTTGTACAGCTTTTCTCTTGCTTTTGGTTATTACTTTGTTAACAATTATTTTTCTTCTCACAGCTCAAAAATGGATGAATGGAGTTTATTCACTTTCCAAATCAAATCATATTTGAGCATAAACTGAAAATGGAAAACTTGAGCACCAAAAGAAGAGCGCTGTGGAAATTAAATCTGCTTTTATGCACTATTATAATGGAAAGTGTTTGCAACCTAAACTATAGCGGCTGCTACTACTGACAGCTGCAGTAATTAAGAAATACAAACCAGAACTTTCCAGGAAGTGGCATGAGGTTCAAAGCTGAGAACTGAAATAATCCTCTAGGAATCCAATGCCTGCAGAATTATGAATCAGACTGCGTCAATGCAATTAAAGGAAAAAATCAAAATTTCTCCATTACATGGCAATATATCGATAGGACTTAGTCTTTACTGAGAGCCAACCCAAAATATCTGTTTTTTCAGAAATATTTCATAATGCTGTATAATAAACTCATTTATCGAGGCTATATCCAAACTAGAAACTAACTCAACCAATAGAATTACATGAGCACTTCAATTAAAGACCTTCAATAAATCAACACGAGGTTTCAGTGGAACTAAATATCCTACAGATAAACTATTTTCATAAAGCACAAGTTGCTGGATATTTAATAACTAAAACTGAACTGTAGAATATATCAGATAAAGTAACAATAGTAAAAGAATAAACATATGGGCTGCATCTAGACTGGCAAGCTGTCTACACTGGCCGCTTGAATTTCCGCAAGAACACTGACGATCTCATGTAAGATTGTCAGTGTTCTTGCGGAAATACTGTGCTCCTCCCGTTCGGGCAAAAGCCGTCTTGCGCAAATGCTTTTGCGCAAGAGGGGCAGTGTAGACAATGCGGTATTGTTTTGCACAAAAAAGCCCCGATGGCAAAAATGGCAATCGGGGCTTTCTTGCGCAAAACCACGTCTAGATTAGCACGGACACTTTCCCCCAAAAAGTGCTTTTGCAGAAAAGCGTCCGTGCCAATCCAGATGCTCTTTTCCGCAAATGCTTTTAATGGAAAAACGTTTCCGTTAAAAGCATTTGCGGAAAATCATGCCAGTCTAGACGTAGCCCTAATGATTTAGCTTCATTTTTATCTGCAGCAGACCAACCACCAGGGCTTGCAAGAGACAGAACCATTTAGCACCTTGCCCTCCCCATTGTTGCAAGTTTGACAGATTAAGCCGGATTAAGACCTTTAGAGGCCCTAAGCACCGAAAAGATTATGGTGCCCCCCATATATAATTCAAAATAAAAACAATACTATACCGTAAAAACTCATTTTTGGTGCCCCTGCTTTGCTGGTGCCCTAAGCACATGCTTAGTCTCCCTATTGGGTAATCTAGCCCTGGGGCTGGTAGGGTGCCACTGGGCTCTGCTAGTTACCAAATCTCTTTCTCAGTTACCCCTTCTCCCCACAAAATAATAGATATTAGGTCTTATGGTGTTGCCAGGGGCTTAGTGAAGCCAAGTATTTCCAAAGCCTTGGCTCCATACAATTCCATGGGTGAGCAGGGATTTGGTTAGTCCTCTTTCACCATTTCTGGAATTTTTGGCAGCCTCTGCTTGCTGCCACCAAAATTTTTAGGTCTGCAGGCAAGAGTGTGGGAAGACAATGCAATAGGAATATTATCTAGAGAGACTGTGGATTAACATTTGTTTTGCTGCCTGTCAAATAAGTGACCCCATTTTTTAAAGAAATAGGCTTGTTACTGTCCATTTCCTCCAAAAATAATATTTTGTTAAAAAGAAGACCAAAAAAAGATGCATGTCTGATGCTAAAGTAAAGCACATTAGTTCTTTTGTATGCGTTGGCTGGTCCTGCAACATTGCTGAGATCAGGGTAAAAGTCATTGGTCACCAGGAGTTGATGCAGAGAATATTTCTTAAAAATAAGTAAATGCAATTTATGACACAGCAGACCCACCACAAGGACACCGATAGACATATGGCAAAACTGTACAATTAAGTTACTCATTTCATCTCCCAATAAAGTTAATAGCAAAATTGCTACTGACCTCAAGAGGCCTCAATTAGAGGCCAGCCTTTAATTTGCAAATGCTATACTTTTCCCCTCCCATTTTTTTCTGCACATTACACCTGATTTCCCACCACTTTGTACCTTATATAACTATTTAACTGTAAAATAGCATACTGTCCACTTCCTAGTCTGTAAACCATGCTAATGTCTGTGTTATACTGGAGAATGTGAACAGATCCACAGTGATGTGAGTACAAGCAAAACTGTACTAACTTATCTGCAAAGAACCATGAAGGAAAAGCGCAACAGAAAGGCATGTGAAGAGCATTTAAACCCTTGCTACATAGCACTTTGTGTTACATTTCAATACGCTTGTACAACAATTTTAAAACTAACAACAAATGAAGAGTGGGAGCACAATTATTTTAATGCATTAGCTACATTTAATGCATTTCATTAAATGCAGCTAATGCATTTGATCCTATCAAATTTCTGTTCTGAACAATACAAGGCATGAATTGTTCGGTATTGGTTTTAATAGCTGCTTTTCAGGGTACTCAGAATATTTGCTTGTAGTAAGCATGTTTCAGTTTGCAACCATGTGCTGTTGCTGTTTTTAAAAGACTAGCAAATGTATACACAGTCTGCAAAATCACAGGCTCAAATACTTGTCAATTCTACATAGATGCAAATCTTGAAATAATTCCTTTGAATTCATGACAACTCACATCAGAATTTAGGCCATAATATGTGAATGTTACTTCCATACTTTAAAACTAAATTAAGCTTGCTAATGCTACAAATCCTCTGACTAGTGAGATCATAGGAGGAAAAGACTACAAATTTCTACAAAAATCAAGGAGAAGGCACAAGCACATTATTTTTTGATTCTCCACAACTGAGGTGAAATGGAAACAGACTACACATTTTAAAGAGACTGAATTCTGGAGGCCTGGCAGAACTATTGCTATCCAGCTTTTGTAGACTGTTCTCTTGAACACTCTGTTACTGGGAACAGCTGCTACTCAATATCCACTAAAGACATAAGGGAGGATACGAGTTTTGCACAGGGACTGTTCATTGAAACAAAAATCACACTTCACTCACAGGACTGCAGGCTGTCTTCAACTGCATCACAACAAACTGAGGGTATGTCTATACTACCCTCCTAGTTCGAACTAGGAGGGTAATGTAGGCATACCGCACTTGCAAATGAAGCCCGGGATTTGAATTTTCTGGGCTTCATTTGCATAAGCGGGGCTCCGCCATTTTTAAAACCCCGCTCGTTCGAACCTGTGCCGCGCGGCTACTAGGGGCACGAACTAGGTAGTTCGAACTAGGCTTCCTAGTTCAAACTACCGTTACTCCTCATTCCACGAGGAGTAACGGTAGTTCGAACTAGGAAGCCTAGTTCGAACTACCTAGTTCGTGCCGCGTGAAGCCGCACGGCACAGGGTTCGAACGAGCGGGGTTTTAAAAAATGGAGGAGCCCCGCTTATGCAAATGAAGCCCGGGAAATTCAAATCCCGGGCTTCATTTGCAAGTGCGGTATGCCTACATTACCTCGCTAGTTCGAACTAGCGGGGTACTGTAGACATACCCTGAGTGAGTATGTGGAGGGTAACTCCCACTGGGCAAACAGGAAGTTGTAAATTAATGGTTCCATCCCATTTATATTCTGGGGAACTCAGTTAACCCTATGATGACCATTTATTATTAAAAGAAAGGCTACTAAGAGCAAGCCCCCAAGAATATAACAGAAGGTAAGGGAGCAGGAGGCATACAGATTTAAGGGAACCTAGGATGATGAGGATAGTGGTTCCATAGTTACATGATCCCTTGTTGAATTTGGGGTACGTGTTTTCAAAAGCAATAAACCCAAAACCTACTCTGCAATAGGGGAAGATCTGGGACTCTATGCTGTGGGTGAGATTCGAATCAAATTGGCTTTTATGTGCCTTGGGTCAGGACCTAAGTGAACAGTTGAATCAACACACTATCAAACCAACATCCTGACCTCTTGTGGGTAGGGTTGCCAGGTATCCGGTTTTGAACCAGACAGTCCAGTATTTGAGTTATTTGTTCGGGCAACAAATTGAGAAAACATAAATGAGAAAATATAAATGTCTGGTATTTTCTAACTAAGATGTAGTGTCGATTGTGATGTAATGTTAAGTGTGTCCAGTATTTTTGTTGAAACCATCTGGCAACCCTATTTGTGGGTAGGGTTGCCAACTTTCTGTTGGCACAAACCTGAACATCCTAGCCCTGACCCTTCCTCTTCATTCCCCTTCCCTCAATGGCTCACTGTCCTCATTTTCACTGGGCTGGGGCAGAGGGTTGTGGGGAGGGAGAGCTTTAAATGGCAGTTCAGGCCTCAAGTCCAGGAGGGGGTCTCTGAGCTGAATCAGTTAGTTGGGGTGCAAGACATGGTGAGAGCTCTGGCTGGTAATGTAGGCTCCAGAGTAGGCCTAGGGATGAGAGGTATGGGGTGCTGGGAGCTGGGCCTGACCAATGGATTCGGAATGCAAGAGGGGGTTGTGGGTTGAGGCAAGGGGTTGGGGTGCAGAAGGGGGTGAGGGCTCAGGGATGGAGTGGGGGATGGGGGGTTCGGGGTGTTGGAGGGGGCTCAGGGTTGGGACAGGGGAGTTGAAGGAGGGTTAATGGTCTGGGATGGGGATGTGGGCTCTAGGGTGGGCCTGGGGATGAGGGGTTTGGGGCTTCAGGTTTGAGGGGGCTCAGGAGTGGGGTGGGAGGGTGGAGCTCTGGCTTACTGGTCAGTGGCACTAAGTCAGGGTGTCTGCTTCTCCTCGGGGACCACACTGCACCCTGGAAACAGTCAGCAAGTCCAGCTCTGATGGTTGAGCGGAAGGCTCAGCTGAGCATCATGCAACCTGCTCTTACCCACAAGCACTGTCCTAACCAGCTCTATTAGCCAGGAAGTGGCCAATGGGAGTGTGGAGCTAGTATTTAGAGTGGCAGGGGCAGCATATGGAGCCCTGAGTCACCGCCCGCCCTCCCCTCCAGCCTAGGTTTGTAGGCTGCTTTTGGGGCACAGTGTGATGCTGCAGGACAGATAGGAAATAGCTTGTCTCGTCTCCACTGCACTGCCAAACAGGCTGTTAATGGCCCAGGGGGTGGTATGCTGACCAGAGGCACCAGGGTATCTTTTTGACCAGGTGTTCCAGTCAAAAACTAGACACCTGGGTTACATCTACACTGGCCCCTTCTCCGGAAGAGGCATGCTAATTTACAACTTTGGAATAGGGAAATGCGCGGGGGATTTAAATATCCCTCGCGGGATTTAAATAAACATGGCCGCCGCTTTTTTTCCGGCTTCAAAGTAGGAATAAGAGATCCTCCGGAAAAGGGCTTTATTCCGGAGGATCATGACAGTCTAGACGCTCTTTTCCGGCTTTTCCCCAAGCTGGAAAAAAAGCGGCGGCCA